GTGAACCGAGACCGATATTCCCACCGCCAGTGAGGTTCGAGGATGGATTGGTCGAGGTTGGCTCTTGTGGCATGGATCCGTAAAATGCTGTATATGGCATGGAGGTTGTGTATATATGGCATGGGGTTGTTTAGGCCCCTTTTTATTAGACCTTTTTTTGGAGATTTTTTTCCCACCAAAGGGATGACAAACATTCTAAAAAAGGATGACCCCCTTCTTACGGTGCTGGTCGATCATTTATTAGTCCGAGTCATCGACCAAACAAAGAGATTCTGTGCAACGGTCGTTCGTCATAAATACATGTACCACACCCATTAGGTTTTCGGTGATATCTCCGCACAGAGCGACTGTAAAGCGAACCCCCGCTAGCTGTCTGCATGGTCCGTCTTGCGTGGCAGCTGATAGAGACCACAGGAAGATAGGAGGCACGGAATCTGAGGTGGCGAGAGTCAAGAGCACGCTGGAAAAAAGACCACGCGTCCAGAGATTCAAGCTTGTGCGTGAGAGTCATGGGGTTGTGACCGCCAAAGGACAACCATTTTTTGGCAGCCCCAACCTGTCAAAAAGTTGTCCGAAAAAAGACAGGATGGGCTGCCCAAAAGGGCTGTTTCAGTAGCGGTCTTTTTTTGGTAAAATTATACGTCGTAAGAAGGGGTTCTTTGGTCCGTTGTCTTTTTGGGGGGCTGAACAGAAGAAAAATATAGCCAAAAAGGAACCATAAAAAATGGCCGTAGACTGTGAGCTTGTGGGCTTCGGTCCTCGAGTTCACACCCTATGTGATGTCCGCTGAACACTGGATAGTAAACAACGTCCTCCAGTACTTATGAAGTACTTCATCTGGAATTTGTTCACTTGGAGTATATCAGCAGGATGTTATCTAACCGTTCGCACACGAAGCGACGTGTTCGCTGCATGTGGTGCGCCTGCTCTGTACGAGCGCGAAAAATTCAAGTCCCTTGCGGTACTTGAAGTAAAGCCGTGCTTGCCGAATGTGAAACGTTGGTTTGCCGTGATGCCGAATATTCCCATAAAATATCTGGTTTGGCACAGCAAACGCAAGGATTATTACCAGCTTCTGGTTCATCCTTGTAAAACGTAGCTTGGGCCGGTGAAAATCCGGCATATCGCCCCGTCTCGCCATTGTAGGGACGCGAGGTCTACGCCCTTGTGAGGTCGACGCCCTTGTTACACTCGGTCAGATTGGATCTCGACAGCTGTTTTGCTCTTCCGCACGACGAGCTCGGACAGTTGCAGCTCCAGCCTTCCCAACAGATTGAGACGGTCAAACTGCTTAATCTCCGGAGTAAGATCGGGGTTGGACATGAGGAACATAATCATATCGACACAATCCGGCGCCACTGCCTGCCGAAGATGGTTGTACAAGTACCCTAGCCATGAAACCCCCCCTCCAACGCAAAGGTACGCGTAGTGTGTAAGGGAGCGCGGTACGCAGGTGCGCACAGTTTTTGTGTGGGTGGCTAGGCCATCCATAGGCACATGCGCACACACTTCCTATGAAAGACTCGCGCGGTGTACAACCGTGACTCCGTGGAAAAACGTGGCTGTATTGCGTTAAAACCTCGGGGGGGGTTGTGTGTTATTTACCGTGGCTTGTGTGCGGAATAGCTCAAACAGCCCCGAAAAAACATCTCTTGTATGGAGTATTGGGAAACCGCGCGCAGCGGTTTTTCTAAGGACAAATTCTCACGCGGCGGAGCGGAGCTGCTTTGTTTCATTGGAAAATCTGGACGATCCCGAAGCGTGTTGTTTTAATACGTCCTGCTCCGTCGAGCAAACCGCTCCGTGAACACCCCGAGAAAAACCTTCCTACCTAGGTGTGCAAGATCGTTAAATATGATGAAAGCTGGCCATGTATGTGCGAGCTTCACTCATGCATATAAATGGGGAGCGCCATCTTCTAAGCCACGGCACCCAGTCGCATTGACCAACTGATCGCGTGTTGTTTTGCGGTTTGCATCCCCATCTATTCTGAGCGCCAGTCTACAACGTTCGGCGTATGTTCGACGCACCGGTTGGGTTATGTCGCACAAGAGCCAAGTGAACACTGGAGCATTTTTTTGTATTCGGCGTTTTAGGATTCCTCCACGTTTCTCTCTGGGCGCTTGCTTTCAATTTTTAACATGAGAGGGACCAGCAATCTTCCCCCTCCCCCTTTTTACAGTCACGTGACGTTTCACAGTTAGGTTCCAAACTGTTCACCCCATAGATTCAAACCCGCAATCTAGAGAGTTAGACGGGTGTTCTTGGTGAGGAACTACCCGAACTCGCGTGAAGATTCATGACAACATAACACCGGCGATGCAGTGTGAGCGACAAGAGACGCACAGCAAGCGGCTTATCCCTGTTGTTGTATATTATCTAGCGCATTCATGAATACAAATTGAAGTTGGAGTGAGTCGATGTCTGAGCCTGCTACTCATGTCAGGACTAGCAGCAGCCGCCGTTGCTGGATGCGATAAACAAAGGACGCCAATATCTCGTTGACCAGCGAGGGTTTGTACACTCAACTCCCCAGGCATAAGCACAGACGCGACAAGGTAGCTGCGATACCCAAAACAAAATATCCTAGGCTTCGTGGAGGCGCTATGGAACCCTGCACACCTTCGGCGTGTGACGGCGGTGGGTCTGCTTAGGGGGATGCCTGACGATGCACATACCAAGACTTCGTAGGGATGCAAGGATTGGTTTTGGGGGTTCGTTTCCATATGTGGTGGTATGTAGGAGCAGGACTGTGCTACAGTCCCCTACCGGGATGACCGTACACGAGATGATGAAGATTGGGTGGGGGCTGGAAGACGGTGGCTATGATTGGGTGACCACTAGTCACCGGAGAGCAGGTTGAGGCACTGCGGGCAGAGCTACGCCGACGCTGAGCATAAACTGTTCCGCAGTTTAAAAAAACAAGCGTCTCTTATCGCTTGAGCCGGGCACAAATATGCCATCTATGTGAACGAACTTTGGGGTGAGTCACTCCGCACCCGATGAGTGGTCAAGTAGACGTAAGCCCAATGAAGAACAAAAGTACGAGCGGGACCGCGGGCTGGCGCCGGAGACCGCATCCAATCCAGTTCTTCCATGAAATGATCCGTTCTGTCTCCAAACAAAGAATTTGTTTCATGTGCGTTCTGGAGTAAATCGGCCGGCGGGGGTCCTCGCCTGTTATGCCCCCGTGCGCGAAGGGGATACTCAGCGGTATGCTACACCTCGTGCGGGGATTGTATGCTACGAGACCCAATCTAGGTATGTATTCGAAGGGCGGGCAAACTTCAAGATGGTCCCAAGATTTCCGGCGCCCAACTCTACTCACGACTTTCTGGAGCGAAAAGAGCTTGTGGTTTTCTTGGTCACTTGGTCACCAAACCCTGGACATTGTTGTCGAAGTCGTGCTTTATGATTTGGTTTCAAAATTAGCTACGGGTTGGCTCTCAACGTTACATGTGTATGTGCCATTTCGATGTTTTCGAGCTTCGGCATCTTTCTCTCGCACAGTGAACATTTCCTACTCTGCCTTCTGAAAGAAATGCAGGGGGCTCTTCGGTACAATACCGCGCATGCCGGAGGATCGCCAGCAATTCATGGCATATGTAATCGATGCCTAAAGTCGCCGGGACTGGCTCGAACTCGAGGGGAGTCATTCTTCACCACAAAAGCCTCCGCAGGCCTCCGCAGGATACACGAAAAACGCCGTTCATATGCACAACAAGAACAGCAACACTTTGATTCCTGGGCAAACATACATACACTCACACCCGAGTAAGACGGCACAAACAAACGAGACAGAGAGAGAGAGAGCAAGTACAGCAGGTTGCAGCAGCAGGATCACCAGCTGCAGCAGACAACACCTGTACACAGAAGCAATCATTGGCCGTCGACAGGTGATAATTGCCCCATTTCCCGCAGGGGAATTCCGAGAAGAAACAAAATAACCCGAACTGGGCCCCAGTTGCCCAGTTGCCCGATTACCCGCAGGGGTTCGAATTGTTCACAGAGAATCTGCTCAGAAATCTCAGAGCGATGACCGTGCAAATACCCGCAGAAGAGACTTTGTAATTCAAGATCATTGAGAGACGCCGCTAGCCATCATCAAGCACACAGTCCTAGCACGCACGCCAAGAGCCACGATTAGAAAAACGCTTTCCCGCAACAGGATGCGAGATATTTCTGCAGTTTGTCGGAAACCACGGCACTACTGAAGATTGAGATACAACGATACAACCGCGATACCTTGGCCATTTCTCATGTCCTCTTGTATTTCCCTTGGGAGGTAAGTCGCCAAACTCCCGAAGGGGAGGCTTACGTATTTTAGTTTTCGTTTCAGCATCCAGCCGTTGGCTCGATTTTCCTTGGTTTTCCCGACGTTGATAGATGTGGGGCTTTGGGTCAAGTAGTTTTTTTTTTTACATTTTTCGAGTGCTAGAACGTTCATCGGAATTGCTTGAGGCCTCGGGGGTTGGTTCGTGGACCGATTGGCGTAGGTACGGTTTGAATATGAAACGACAGCAATATCAACAATAATATCAACGACAAGACATAAACAAGCGATTGTATGCGCATAAGTCTGTGAGTATTTTGGGTCTTCGAAATACAATTCGTACTGCAAACCAAACTTGACATGCCAGGGTGCACAAGTTTTGCCCTTGTGGCAAGCTAAGGTGACTTGAAGGGGGATATTATCCCAGTAACGGGTACATCGCGTAGCAATGACAGGTCAGGCACACGAACATTGGTGAAACTACAAAGGTCGATTTGACAAACCTTGGCACCGGAAGGAAACATTCGAGGACAAACAAAGGTTCATGATGGTAGAGCCTGAGGCCGATCCGGCCGTGGCTTTATTTGGAGGGTCATGGGGCGCATTATCCATTCCCGGCCTAGAACACGGTGACCAAGGCCGAGACTCAACGGGCGTTGCTGCATCTCGCATCGTCTTTCTACTCCGCACCGAATCCCTGGACGCTTCAAGTCATACCGTTACTCACCGATATTTGCGCGCTGGAATATAGAGAGTCATGCATGGTCTCCACGAACGGGCTGAACACCACGTTCATGACAAGGCTGAGCTGTGGGAACAATTGCGAACGGAGCACCACCGACGGGGACGGGTGTGCAAATGACAGCATTGGTGAGCCAGGGTCGTCCCTGAGAGTTCTGCTCTGTCCGATACTCGGGATACCTCATGTGGTTGTATGTAGACGGTATGCTTGTGGACCTCAAACGTACGTTGTTCGTAATCAACACCCTACTTCTCACCACCGTGAAACCCATTGCTATCCACAGCTGCATGGATGTTCTCGTGGCGAAGAAAACCAGGCTGGCGAGCAGAATCCGACGGCAGGTTTCAAATATTTCGTACCACCAAGCTCGAGGTTCGTCTGAAACGCGGACATAGAGCACATCGCCAAAAACGGCATTAATCTGACCATAGAGGAACCCTCGACGCCGATGGTGACCACGGTGCGAATAACATGCTCGCTTCGTAGGGTGCTTACCCTTCGACAGAAATACATGGACAACCATGAAAGGGTAATACTACGGTAATACATTTTGTTTTCTTGTTCCGAGTGGTTGGTACCCTATTTTTGTGTTGTTTCCCCGCGGCGTCGTATTTGCCGGGATATGAGACCACGGGCTCCCCATTTTTTGTGGACTATAGAGCTAATGTGAGAAACAACAACAACAAACATCAACTGGGCGACGATCTAGTTGGTCGCTCCTGACATAGTATTGATATGATTATTTCACATGTGTTGGGAGACACACCCCTTCTCACATGCATCGTGCAGAAGCGCAAATGGCTGAAGCGCGAGTGCGTTGGCCCGTTTAGCCTCCTCAGCAATTGCGTCATCTCCTTTAGGCCGACCGTGTATCTCGCTAGGATATAACAGATGGCGATGTTTCCAAAGCACGCCAGAGTACAGCGCAAGAATGCCGGTCGGGTACGCCACTGCCATGATGACTGCTAATGCTCGGTACTTCGGATGCTCTGCATCATTGCAGTCTATGGAGTAGTCCGCCCGCAGCATCGTGCGGCCGTCATCGAACGACTGCTGGGCGTAGGACACAAGGTTGGGCAAGTGAGGTGCCGTCAGTTCAAACGGCAGACGTCGCTTATCGGCAGGTATTGTGCGCAACTCCCGTCCCGACATAAAGACTAAGGGAATAAAGCCTGGGTTTGTAGCAATGAGGACTCTATCTTTTATCAAGGGGGTCGAGGGACATACATACCTCACAAGAAAGTGTCCTGAGAGCCGCGTTTATGGCAGGAGTCAGCACAAGGTAAGTAAGTGCGAGGAGGCACTCGTTGCACTTCATTGATCGGCCTCGCCATGTACGACCGTCGGTGATCCAGCTGGAGCGAAGGAATGAGCGAACACCCATGATCACGACGGCCACGCCCAGCGGTGCGATAGTTTTAAAAACGAGTTCACCGTAGAAGGTACCGTGTACCAAGCACGTCGCAGAAAAAGCCTGCCAAGGTCGCATGTCGGGCACGTAAGAAACATGAGCGTACATTATTGTGCGAGGATGACGTCTGCTGTAGGTTTCACGCGAACGCCTTTGCCACTTTGAGTGCAACAAAACAGTTTTCAGTACGACCCTGACGCTCAACATCTATATTGACCCAAATCGTTCTCGGGGCAGCCACAAAGATATCTTGCTTGATACATTCTCCAGTTCGACGCTGTCGGCTCGTACGCACAGTGACTTTCTTACCTTCGGAACGGTAAAGTTCACGATGTCCAGCCCTCCTAGAAAGGATCGGAGGGTGTTTGAACGCCTCACAACCAGCACTAAGGGAGTGGTAGCAACAACTTGAGCAAATGACAGTACCACTTTTGCGCCGTTCGCAGCATGACTCATTGGCAGATTCGGAAGGCAGGCAGATGGGTCGAGCGCCCTCGCAGTCACCAGAGAAGACCTTCAGACGCATAGTTGGGGGTTGGCGTTGGTTTTGTCTTAGAAACAGCCGATTGTGATTAACACTTCCGTAATTCCTCCATGATTTGTGTTGCCACTGCTGCAGTACTTCTCACCTGATCTGCAAAACGACGGTAGCCTGTTCTCCTGATGCAGCCCCCGACAAGCCTGCAAGAGCAGAAGCTAGCTGGTCGATGACAGGACAGAGCAATTCCGATCGCATGACGACCTTCTTCATTCCAGGAGCTGTGTCTGGATATGGTGTCCGTGATAGAAGCCTGACTAGCTTCACGGTAAACATTTCGACAGTGACCAAGAGGTCTTGCACCTGCGGATCAACCCGCTCGGGCAAGGTGCGCAGGACGTCATGTCGAAGAAATGCCACAAACGTTTCCACCTGAAGTAGTTTCTGCCGGAGCCTTTTGGTGGTAGGCTGTTGAACCGTGCTCGCATTGAGCGGAGACGAGGTTTTCTGAACGGCACCGCCGTTACCAATTGCGTGAGCCTGAAGGTTGGCCGACCCAACAAATGTTGGCGCCCCTAGCAGCAGACACATGCCCAGGACCATCCCCATGATTTCGGCAGCCGTCGCGCCGCTAGATGATTTGCACTCAAGACACACACCATTCACAGATACATAATGCGAAGTCGGGCACACGAGACAGTAGGGCCCTGTGTTGTCTCCGAGGCAAATGTCGTCCCCTCCCCCGACCCCGCCTATACACAAGTCAGGGATCGGGCACACTCGTACATCCGTGGATGCTTCGCTCGTACGCCAGTAACCCGCTGCGATCATGGGTGATGAAGGAGTTGGGTGCGGCGTTGTCTGTGGTGATGTTGGAGTCGGTGTGGGAGATGGTGTGGGCGATGGTGTGGGCGATGGTGTTGGAGATGGTGATGTCGGACCAGGAGTGGGGGCTGGTGTCGTAGGGGACGTTGTAGGGGACGGCGTACTAGATGGTGCCGTGAAAAAACATGAGCACACTCTTCGGTAAAGCGGACTCTCCCCACCATCACATGTCGGTGTGCGCCTCGTCCCAAAGTTGTGGGCCTCGGCTGCATCCAAAGCATCTGCGTTAACATTTGCTGTGAGACTCGCGCTCGTTGTGGCACTAGCCTGGTCCACGGCGTCGAATGTGGGACTCACTAAACATCCCGCCGTGAGGTATGGACGATCGTCAACATCAACGATTCTGTAGTTTTCGTCGAAAACTGATGATAGCCAGTGCAGCGAAGCTTGGAAGCTACCTTGAGACGTGTCCGGGCCAAAGTTGAAGTACCAATCCGAGATGGTTTGGGCATATAAGATGACACCTAGGGCATTTAGCACTTCTTCGCACTCCTCGTTGGTCAGCTCTAATGCATCCTCATTACAAGGCGCTCCTTCCACAACGCATTTATCGGTACAGCTGACGCCTGGATCTGCAAAAATGTAGCATGCACCATTGTATAGAGCTCGGCCGCCGTTGATGCAGTAGTCTTGAGCACAGCAAAACCCCAACCAGCGCGCAATGAGTAACAACCCAATATTCCACACACTGAGTGGAAGCCTTGAACAAGCCATTCGCGAGCTTGTCAGGTACAACGTCAATGCAGCCATACCTTACGTGCCCATGTATGCTCTGGACCGAGTGACACGAAATGGATCGTCGCGGGGCACGTACAGCACACAGGATGGGGACCCACCAAGGGCACACGCGGGGGAATAACACAAAATCGACCAGAAAATTCCACGAATGAAAAAGAAGATAGAGCTTGGCCAACCGGGAACGTCGCATCGAAAGTTTCGTTTAACTTTACTTGCCCACAACCAACAGCACACTTCCCAAACTCACCAGCTTTTGGAGATACTGGTGATTTTGAGCCGCGGAGTAGAGATATGTATTTGGTGCAACAATTGGGGGGCGCGCAGAGGATATACAAGCAACCCACACAGGTCAACGAGTGATCCCGGGCCGAGGGGTGACACCGCCCATCTGCGCACGTCCGAGCTGTCAACGACAAGCATGTATGCAGGTTTATTTAAACCAGGATGTCAAGACTCTCACGTGATCCTGGCCTTTGACGAAGGTCAAGAGTTTGTGCGAGACCACACCACAGCAGTAGTTTCAACAAGGCTGCCAGCAAAAAGTTCTTCTTCAGCAGGTCAGACATTTTTTTGCATATGTGTAGACTTTGTACGTTTCGAAAATCTACAGACTAGACATATCTTTGGTACAAGGAGCAGTAGTCCTATTTGGGTAAGACTACGGGGCGCTTCGAGGCGTACCTCTTCGCAGTCGCCGCCGCGCTCGTAGAGTGTATCGCGATTTTGCGAGTGTGTGGGTTGAGTTTTGAGAGGAGAGAAAGAAGTGCATCGTCTACAGCTGCAGGAAGCGCTTCGCGGCGTACCGCTTCGCGATCGCCGCTGCGCTCGTGGGGTGTAATGCGATTTTGAGAGTGTGCGGGTTTGAGTTTTGAGAGGCGAGGAAATAGTCCAAGCAAGGCACACCTGCCGCTATTCAGGGCAGTGCCGCCCTTCCGCTACACCACTGCTGTGGACTACACAACAGTGGGGGCCTTCCATAATGCCGGTTGGATAGTGCCGTTGCCCAGTATTTTGCCCGTGTTTTCTGCTCGCACACACTGAAATACCCAGTCGTTCTGTGCTCTGAATATTTGGAAACGTAGAAATACAAACTCAGAAAGATTGTGTGCCGGTGCCCGGTAGTTGCTGTCTTCAAAACGTTCCGTTCTCTCCGCCCGTGGTTTCTTCTGTCCGTTTCAGTCTAACACTTGACGGGGTCGATTCCCGTGGTCACAGGCTAACTTACCCAACAAAAGGTATACGAAAATAAATGGAACCGAAGGGTCCGCAAGCCAATGGAAGTCAACGACAGACACATTAGTCGAGGCCACTCCGCTCGCCTCTACACGCTATGCGAGGTAACCCTAGACTAGAAAAAGATAGAAAAAGAAAAAGAAAAAGGAAAGGAAGAGAGAAGATTGAGAGAAGGGAAAGAGAAGGAGATAAACACAGACAGAGAAAGACACACGCCGTAGCGACAAACGACAAACAGAACAACACAAGTCAACACAATACAGCACACCACAAAGCGGGCCACCCGAGCCAGCAAATGCACGTCATCGCTCGCGGGGGGTTGGTGCAAGGATGCAGTGCCGGGGGCGGGGAGGGGATAAGTCAAGCAAGGGGTTCAATTCGGCAAAGTGTTTCGCGCCACTCGGTCCGCCTCTTCGCGTTTCCTGTCTTTCCTCGCCGTCTCGTCCGCCTGCTGTACCCCTCCCGCTCCCGTGGTTGTTGCCGTGTCCGTGTTGTTCCCGGGCTACTTTTTCGTTTCAGCGCTCGTTGTCGGCTAGCCTCCTCTTCCTTCTTGTGCCAGGAGGTCATTAACCTCTTTGCTCCCTGCAGTACCCCTGTAGACCACGGTACCCCCCGGTCCACCTTCGCTGCTTCCATCCAACTTGTTTCCGGGACTCCGAAGAAGCATGGCTCGGCGTCCGTAGATCCGTGCTCTGCTTCGAACATCTTGAGGTCGTCCTACAGGCACATCTGCCAGTTTTGCTCCGTTTTCCCCCTGCCTGGGCTCTCCCCCCCCACCAGCTCGCCAAGCATCACCAGTTTCGGGAGTCGTCCGTCACTCTGCCTTCCCAGCGCTCACGCGAACAGCAGGCGCCGTTGCCGAATAGTAATTTCCACGCTCTGGCACCCTACCCTCTTCATTGTCTGGGCGTAGAAAAGCTGCCGATAGGTGCCCTTCTTGCGTTGGTAGCCGATAACTCGCAAGTAGCAGTCGGTGGTGTATCGCCCGCAACGTCCGGTATTGATCTTGACGTGGGGCCCATGTCATGCAGCCGTACGGCAGTGCCTCCATCGCCTCGGCCTGGAGAGGCGAGTCTTGAGTCGGCACGGTGCTCTCGGCCTGTCGAAGCGCTCCTGGTCATATCTCCTTACGCATGCCCACGCTGCTCTGCTCCGGTAATTCATCTCCCGGGTGGGTCACCATGTCCGTTGACGAGGCCACCCAGGTGCCGGTCGTCTGGGCGTGCCTCTGTCCTGCTGCCTCGATGATCAGCGGTGACGGTGGGGGGAGCGGTGGTGTTGTTGGTGCCCGGTATATTGCCGGTAAAATCTCAGGACACACCCTGACACTATTCAGGACCCCCGACTGTAGCACAGTGGCAATACTGCATCTAGTTTGTATTTAGGAAAAAAAATACAGAGGGTGAGGTGGAATAACTTTTTTGTGGAAAAAAGTACCTGCAGTAGGCTCGTGCGTTGTTACCATTGGCTCGTCTATACCCACAGCAGTATTGAGCTGGGGGCGCCAGTGTGATTTACAGTGAGGGGGGGGGGGGG